GGGAGCAGGCTGAGAGCTCCTCTTGCTGACCCTGTTGTGTGATAAACGAGCAAGGAACCAGAATGTCAGGGAGAGGAAGCGATAACCTCGAATTATCCTCTGGGGCAATGTTCTAATCTAGGCTGAGCTGATTAGTCATCCAGAACAATTAAAATACTGCTTTATAATAATTAAGTAACTTAACCACTGCAATGACTGTAGTATGTGGGGAAGGCATTGCTCACTGGGGAAGGGAAAAGTAGATATACAAAATGATGTCATTCCTGTGAAGCCTTTAGAACATGCACAGGTACACTGGGAGTGATTGTGAGCAAACAAACTTCAGCTGGGGCTTGACAAAGAGCTCGTTTATAGCTCCGAGGCACACGGGCAGACACTGATGGGGCTGTGTCCCTTTCCAGTGCACGGCATCAGCCTCTTGTTTCTGAAAATCCTCTGTTCCATTAAGTGCAATTAGAATATCTGAGCTCTTCTGAGGCCTTGATAATGGACTATTTTTTTTATCAGATCAAGTATCAGGGATTACAATCCTGGTGTTTTGCATCCAAATGAGATTTCTGCTGGAACAGAAATATTTGCATTTAGAATTGATTGTATGAAAAAACGTGCTACAATTTGAATGATCCTTTGATGATTGGACTTTCTGGGATAGAAGTTCCAGTGTGAGTATTTTGTATGGAATCTGTAATTTCTCTGAAGTATAATCCATCATTCTGTGATTACCATTAATTTAGTCAGATAATTTGCTTGCTCTGTTCTTGTTTGACAGCTCCTGTTGCAATCAGGGAGGAATTGGGAAGCAGAGAACATGAAAAAGAACCTGTGGTTTACTGTTCAAGGAAAAGTTTCTTCCCGTTTGAAATGTCCCCAGCACGTGCCGGGTAAGTCAGTGAGACACGTCACAGAAAGAACACAAAGCCACCACTCATTTATGGAACAAAAAGAAATACGGGCTGTTTTCTCTAGTGGTTCGAACGTGAGGGATTTTAGCGGCCTCTATTGCCCTCTGATGGACAAATCCATGGAGCGATGTCCTCGGAGCCCTGGCAGAAGGGGGGAAACGCTCCAATGTCTCAGTGCAGGAAGAGCTGCAGCGCTGCCAGGGAGGCCCCGCAGCTTCCCTCGGGAGCCTGCCCGCTCCCAGATTAGATTTAAGGCGTTTGTAGCTTAGAAGTATTAAGTCACCTCTTACCAAACACTTGGCAGATCCTTTCCTTCCTCCCTTCCTTCCTCATTTATTTAAGTTTGTTTGTTTAGCTTCTCTTAAGAACAGTAGGAAAGTATTTTTGACCCTGATCCCAGTTCCTGCAGAATGACACCCTGTTCATCAGGAACTCGGTCAAACCTGTGCCTTGCAGAGGAATGCCTCCAGAAGGGATGGGAGGTTTCTGGACCAAAGCTGATACTTTTTAATTTTTTGTGTATCACTCAGCATATTTGAGCCACTGCTGGAGTGTTTGAGAAATGCTGGAGAAAACGAGAAAGCAGGATGGAGGGAATGGAGAGAAGAAACTGAGGGATGAAACAGAGGCTTCAGGGAGTGGGAGGAAAAAAAAGATGGGTTAATAAATAATTTGAGTTGAAAACACAAAGTAGAGAAATGCAGACGATAAAGATGTGGGAGGGGAAAAATCCATATTCTCTGTAAAGAAGCCAAGAGAAGTGTTACCTCAGAGAGCCAGTTCAGGTGTAATAGCAGAGGGGCCCAGGCCTCCTGGGTACATTGTAGCTGATGTCCCAAAATTACCTGAATTTGAAAGGGTGAAATGCATCAGAAAGGCAGGAAATGCTTAAGGGCTTCTACCTTTGAAGGAGACTTTATTGGACACAGGACCAGCACCTTCACTCTGGAGCCAAGGACAAAGCCTGAGCTGAGAATTCCTGCAGACCTGGCCAGATCCTTCCCTCTGTGTGCCTTGACCTTCTCATCAGCTTCCTCGTCCTCTTACTCAGGCAAAAAGCAGAAGCACCAGAACACCTCCACGGAAGTGATTTAAGGGGCACCTTTGGCTTTGACTAGAAACCCTGGTGGCTGGAAACTTCCCACGGGGGACTCTTCCCACACAGATACATTTCCAGCTCACACTTCTGTGGCTCTAAACCTCTGCTGAGAGGGAGCAAAGGCATGGCAGGAACTTCCCTTTGCCACATGACTCCTACCACTCGTGCCACTTCGACAGCTACAGTGGGAAATTTTTAGCAAGGACAAGCCATTGGCATTCACACCAAAGCCTGACAACACTGTGTGGAGACCTTGGGCTGTAATTTCTTATTTTAGTTCACATAGGAGCTTGAGGAAGTGCATTTAGAAGCTCTTGCCAAAGTGTCTTTAAAAAATCCACCAAAATAACCAAGAAGCATGGGATTATCAGGAGCTGCTAAAGAAATGGTGCCACATCTGGGAGTTATCTGGAGCCAGGAACTTGGAGTGGTTTATCTTCCAACAATACCTGACTGGCTGTTACAGACTGTCCCATCTCTGCCTGTGGGAGGGCAGAATTAGGGCAGATTTCATGTACCCACAGGCAGGGTCTGGCACAAAAATTAATAGCAGAGATATTGTGGAGTTTTTAGGACAGCAGATCACTTCTGGGATATTGGGTCTCTGATACAAATACTGGCTGGAATTTTCCAAAGAGTTTGGGGAAACATTATGAGAATTTCCAAAATCACCACTCAGCCCCTGAAGATCCCCCCCCCCCATCTAAAATCTGGGAATACTACAGCAAGTCATGTTTGCTTTTAGGGAACAGATTGGTTTTGGGAAAAACACTACCAGAAACAGGAAGAAGCACTGCTGGTTTCGTTTAGTAAGTTTTGAAGGGAAGAAATGGCCTGTCCTTTTCTACCTCAGTCGGGAGTTTCCAGGATGCTTCTCTCTGATCTAATCTTATCACCCTGATTTCTTTCTGGCTTTTTGGGACATGTTTTTCGTGACTATATCAGTCAGCTGAAGCCCTTTCCTGCCCCTGCATGAATTATTATTGTTTGGATTTTGGCAGAACATAGAGATCCCTCTGAAGATTGTGGCTGAATTGCCTCCATGGAGTTTATTCCTGCTTGATTTCTGTGGGGTATTGATGGGAAATATATAAACAGCTGAGAAAGGAGATGTGACAAGTCCATGGGGAAGGGCTCAGCGGGGCAGTTCTGCCTCCAGCAGGGAGACCCAGCCCTCGGGTTTAATAATAATAAACAATCCCGGGTAAGATCTTTGCTGCCCTGAACCTGCTGGGTGTTTTGTGTTCATCTCTGTGTGGTTTGTGTTTGGTTACACTCCTGTGACAAAGCCTTGACTCTAATCCTGGGGACACAGCTGGTGTTGGCCCTGCCCCAGGTGCCCTCCAGGAAAACCTGCAGGAGCTCTTGGGGAACAGAGCCCTGGGCCCATCCTGTGTTCCAGAGTTTGAGGGAACCGTTCACCTGCTCAGGGGGGATGCTGGGGAGTGTAACAAGTGCTCATGAACTGTGAGGTGATGCCAGTGCTTGGTGGAGCCTTTCCCTGTGCCAGACACAGACACGGGCAGGAAATGTTCCCAGGGGAAGCTTCACCCACAGGGGAGATTCTGACAATGAACCAGACACCTACACAGGCCGTGCAGGTCCGGTTTGGGTACGAGGATGGATAATCAGCACAGAGGGGTCTTTTCTAGAACACAAGGCAACATTTAACTTTAAAACCCTTTTTGAAGCATATTAGTGCTGGCCATTCCACTGCACTTGGAGGCAGAGGGATCGATAGCTTTGCACCACAGCCAGCACTGCCCCCAGCAAATGGATGGTACAGACCCCAGAGCACTGTGTCTGTCAGGATGCTCTGCATTTCCTGACACACAGAACTGCATGCTGCGCAGGCAGAGACCACTATTTATTCTTCAACCAGTTAATTGTTTTTTTTCTTAAATAAAATGTTTGCAATTTATTTTCATCTTTTTATAAAACACCTTTTCTTTGAATATTCGCTGTGACTCAAGTTCCTGGATGCTCATCCTTTAAATCTGAATTACAGGAATTTCATTGCTCTTTATTTACAGGGAAAGTTAACTCAGAATATGTTTGATATGGCTATTGCTGGTAATAATTTATATGTTCTACAGTAACAGCAAGAGTCTGCAAGTCACATCAAGGTTGAGTGGGGAAACAGAAAGTCCATTTTCTCCTCCAGTTCTTCACTGCACATTTGCCAATTTTAAATCCAGAGCATCTTTATTTATATCGTCAGGACTTCAGTGTGACTGTAGCCGGAAAGAACATTATTTTGTGCTTCTGTCTACCCAGAAGGAAAACAAATTAACATTCCCAAGAAGGAAAGTGGATGTTTATTTGTGTGTTATCCGGAGCGAACACGGAGCGGTGAGACCGGGCTGGGGACGCTCAGCTTGGAGTCACTGCCCGGGCTCTGCTGCCTTGGAGCGGAACACTGAAATAAGCTGATTTATAGAAATGGCCTTTTTAATGTTTAGAAGGTAAAACACAACTGTACCTTGCAGCCTGTGGCAGAAGAACTGTGGATGATCTGCCGAGCACAGCGGTTCGGGCTGAGCCGAAAGGCTGGGTCAGGGTGGGTGTGGGGAGGTGAGGCACTCCCGGACACCCGGGACAGGGGACAGAAGCGGGGTGTGCGGGGGTTGCTGGGTAGGTGATTTCACGGGACACTGTAGGACCCCGCTCCCGTGAGCGGGGCGGTCACGGGCGGTCAGTGCCGGGGGACCCCCCGCTGCCCTCACGGGCACCCCGCCCCTCACGGACACCCCGCCCCTCACAAAACAAGCCCCGCCCCTCGCAGGGCCCGCCCCCTGGCCCCCCGCCTCCCGCCCTGCCCCTCCCGCGGCGCAGGCGCTGCGCAGGCGCAGGGCCGGGCGGACGCGGGCGGGGGCGGTGCGCAGGCGCAGAGCGCGCTCGGAGTGCCCCGGGCGCGGCGGCGGGGGCGGCGCGCGCTCCCGCTTCCGGTGAGGTGTCATGGCGGGCCCCGCGCGCTGAGGGCCCGACCCCGACCCCGCCCGCCGGACCCGCCGCTCCCCGGGCGGGCGCGGCGGGACATGGCGGCGCACAAGCCCGTGGAGTGGGTGCAGGCCGTGGTGAACCGCTTCGACGAGCAGGTAGCGGGGGCGGCGCCGGGGCCGCGGGCAGGGCCGAGCGGGCCGGGGGCGGGCGGCGGGGGAGCGGCCCCGCTCTCGGGCCGGGGGCGGCGGGGCAGCGCCGGTCCTGCCGCCTCCCGGCCGTGCCGGGCCCGGGGCCGCGCGGCCCCTCGCCCTTTGTGCCGGGCGGGCCGGGCGGGGCCGGCGCTGCCCCTCAGCAGCTCCTGCCGCACGGGGGGCCCGGCTCGGCCCGGCCCCGGCGGCTCCGGGGCGGCGCGGCCGTCCCTGTGCCCGGAGTGCCCGGAGGGGTGGCCCGGCTTCCCCCTCCCCGGGTGTCTCTGCTTTCCAGACAGTCCTGTGACACTTGCGCCGTGTGGCCCCTCAGGGAGGGGGGGAAGCCCCGAGAGGCAGGTCCCGGGGGGCTCAGGCGCTGCCACGGCGGCTCTGCCCGTTCCCCTCTGCCCCAGGGAATGTCGGTGTGGAACCCCAGCCCGGTGCCAGGCTCAGCGGGACGAGCAGGGCGTTCCAGCCAGGGCTATCGTAGTGATGGGCAGTTAATTCCCTTTGCAAAAGTCAGTTCTAGTGGTCTGGGGAAAGATGTTCTGAATGGAAAGAAGAGGGATTTGTTGGCCTCAGGCTTTATATTTCCCTTATCCACCAGCAGGAACTCCTTACTGGGATTAGGGGTTGACTCCTGATGGGGCTCAGCCCGGTGCCTGCACACGGCATTCCCACTCCCAAGGTGCTTTCCCGACCTGTGGGAACCCTGTTAAGGCTGAACCCTCAGTTCCTGTGTTGTCTGTCTCGTTTTGCCACCCTGTGAGTGCAGCCTTTGTGTCTCACCAGGCCCAGCTCTGGGAGACCCTGCTCGGTGTAAATCCTTCAAACCCAGGGAGCTGGTTCTCCACACTGAGCCCTGTTCCCGTGCTGCTCCTGTCCCTCAGTGCTCCGGGCACCCACCCTGCACCAACGTGGGGCCTGGGGCGAGGAAAACAAGCTGGTCCTTTGTACGTTTATGTTAAAGCTGCTGTAAATGAAGTTCATTTTGAAAAGGAAAAACTTTGGCATTAAAACGAGGCAGATTTTTTTGAATACACTGTGGGAATATTTGCACAGTTACCTTATTCCCCTCCTTATCTTGAGTCATAGATCATTTTTCCCATAAGCTTAAAAAACATGGGACTGATTATGCTTCTAATAATGCAAGAAAACGTTTCTTTGTGTACTGGTGTTAAAAGGCCCTGGTCTTTCTCCTCTGCTTTGTTATGTATAGTGTGGAATTGGGCTTGCCAAAATCTGTTATGAGTTACAAGCTTCTTAAACCAGAATTATTTTTCTGTACCTTTTCTGGGATGATTACAGATAGATGTAGGGGAGGAATCCTCTTTGGGTAGAAAGAAAGCTGTTCTTATTTTTCAGGTGCTGAAATACTGGGGTTGCAGTGATAATGCACATCAAATATATAGACAGTCAGAGTCATGGAATGGTATCAAAATATACTGAATATCTGCACATTATTTCAGAGGTGATAGTGCAGGTTTGAGGTTTTGCATCCCGTGTCTGCCCTAAATGCAGGACCCCTGGATTCAGCACCAAGGGAGCCACTGCCTGTCCTGTCATCAGTGTTTGAGTGAGGAGGGGGAGAAGGGCAGCTGGTGTCAGTTGTGGGTTGTTTAGGTTTGGCTTTTCTGTGCAGGAGAATACAAACTTTTCCAGGGTTTCTTCCTCCCTTTGCATAGAAGGAAAACGTAACCATCTTTCCCCCAAAATTTATAGATGTAGGCAGGCTTTTCATTCATTTGCTGAGAGCTTGAATTAATTTTAGGGAAGATGAAACACAAGCTGAGAGGATGCTAATCTGTATTGAAAACAAGGGAAATCAGTGCTAGCCAGTCTGCTCTGGCCTGCTCTTGTTTATTGTTATGAATGCTGCTTTAACCAAAATCTGCTTTTGTGTGTACAGTTCTGTGGGCCCAGAATGCCTGGCAAGCAGAGTTTGTGAATTAAGCAGTGGCTGCTCAGGGAGCAGATCCCTGGGGTTGTGCCAGTGCTGCCCTCGCTCCGCTCTGAGCCCACGGAGGGCTCCCCTGGGGCAGGAGGAGCTGCTGCTGGTACCTGTGAGGCCAGACCACAGTGATAACAGAACAGTCAAAGGAAGGCTTTGGGCAGAGTCTCTCTGCTGTACTGCTTATTGTATTTTACAAAACTTGGGATGATCAGGGGAGACTTAGGTTGCAGTAGCACAGAGAGCCTGGAAATTAGTACATTTCCCTGTGATTTCAGCCATAGCCAGGTCTTTGTAAAATAAAATCATCTCTTTTTTTCCAGTGGAAATGTTCACTTCCAGTTTTATGTGCTGTATTTTTATAGCAGTTTGTGTTGTGAGCTGAAATCACAGGAAGGCTGATACAGCAGTGCAGTAGTTGTGAGCTCAGCTGGGGGAGCCTGACTGCCCAAACCATTTACATGTAGACTGGTTTAAAACTATCAGATGTAATAACAGGTATCAATCCTGTATAAACTTGTGGCAACTAAAGTGATTAAGGAGGTGGAGTCCCCTTCCCTGGAAGTGTCCAGGGAATGGGACGTGGCACTCAGTGCTCTGGGCTGGGTGACAAGGTGGAGATGGGTCAAAGGTTGGACTTGATGGTCTCAGAGGTCTTTTCCAAACTCAGTGATTCTGATATACTTTGAAGAAAGAAGCCCTTCGTTCTGTGGATTATGGTTTAGGCTCCCTGTCTGTAGTTCATGAGGTAAGATGGCTTTCAGGTAAGAAAATTTTCGTAAAAACTGAAAGTCAGTAGGAATGTTCCATTCTTCCTTTAATTAAGAGGCATTAAATTAGATCAAATATTCCCTCCTCCTCTTGGTTTGTCTCTGCAGCATTTGAAATCTGTGCAGAATCAGAGCCCTGCCAAAGCAGTGGCTGCAGGTCCCAGTGCTGTGGGTAGGAAATCCCCAGGATAAGGGGGTGTGTTGTGAGGTGTGTCCGGTGCTGTGCTCCCGGGGATGTCCCTGGGCTGGGCACAAGGGGCAGCTCTTCCCACAGCTGCTGTGATGAGGCACATTCCCACAGGGCTCTGGAGCACAAGGTGTGCTGTTTTATCCTGCACTCCACATACAGCTGGAGCAGCTTTGCTGGGATTGCTCTCACACAGTGTGCAGTGTGTTTCAGAAGTGCTGCACTGCACACAGCTGGTGCCCAGGGGGCAGAGAAGGGAAGGGCCCAGTGCACCCCGTGCTACCTGAGTGCAGGAAGGAGCTCTCCAAAGCATCCCGGTGATTCCATGGCCCTTCCTCCTTTGACTTGGAGTTTGTGTTCACAGGATAGGTAAATACACGTTTGATCACAGCCCCAGCTTCTAGTGAACCTTCTGAAAAGGTTTGAGTTTTAGAGCAACCCATATAAAAACTCTTCAGAATTCCGTGTTCTCGCGAAGGCTGAGCTGGGAGGTTCTTGTGCTGGATGATGCCTCTTTAGCAGATGAGGGGAGGAAGATACCTGAGGGATTTGTGTCTGGTTCTGACAGTGCTGATGCTGAGCAGGGAGTGGTGTTGTGGGGATTTTCTGTCACCAGTACATGTGTGTGTTCTGGTCTGCTGAAGGAGTTCCAAGAAATTGTTTGGAAGGATGAACCTAAGTGGATTTCAGGGCTGTTAAGGACAGCACTAGGGATTTTTTCCTGGGTGTTACGTTTGTTGCTTTCTCCAGAGTTGGAATCAAAGGCCCAAGGCTCAGATGCATTCAGACACCTCAAGCTGCTTAGTGAAAATGAGGAGAGAATTTCCTTCCCTGACATGAGTCCCCTGGGATGTGTCTCCCACCTTCCCCTCTCCAAGGGGATTTTCATGAGGTTGGGGTAGTGGGGACAGCGAGAGGGCTCTGTGTGCTGCCACCCCGGGGAGCTTGGGTCTTGGATGTGCTGAATGGCAGGATACCTGTGCTGGTGGGTGCTGCCTGTTCCCTGGATACCTGTGCTGGTGGGTGCTGCCTGTTCCCTGGATACCTGTGCTGGTGGGTGCTGCCTGTCCCTGGGTTTGGCAGGACAGTGATTTTAGCAGTGTCATTCCAGATCCTGCAGCACACAAGGGTTATCTATCAGACTCTGAGTTCCTAATGTTCTTCCAAAGTTGCATCTTGCACAAAAAAGTTGAAATAGTAACTTTGTTTGAAGTGAGAAAGCACTTAGACTTGCTCCATAACTTCTGAAAATAATAACATTAAATACAAATTTTTTACTAAATAGAGGTGATTTAACTTTGTGCTCATTTTTTACAAGTTTTAAAGCAAAACCCATGGCTCAGTGTAGCCCTTCCCAAGAGCCTGAGTGCACATCTCAGGGACACTGAGGCCTGGTAGTGGTGGTAGTTTCAAACCAATGTCCACGGGCATTTAGCAAGAGGTTGGACCTTCCTGCAGGCTTGAGGATACCTGAAACAGGTGCTCATCACTTCACAGGCAGGAAAACCACCCGTTTTTCTTAATAATTAGCATCTCTAACCAAGGGAGGATTCCTTAACAGAACATTTTTGGGTGACGGTGCAATCAGTCTCTAAACTGAGGCCACTTCCAGTGCTCTGACAGGCGAGCCATCAGGTACCACAGTGTTGGCACTTCTCTACAGCTTTGCATTTCTCTAGTGGCACTTACTGAAGTCTTTCAAAGCCAGATTTATAATTTACCTCTAAAGAGTGCCCAGTAAATCTCTTTTTTTCTTTTTCCCCTCTCAAAGATTTAAAATTTGGTGGCTGGGAAGGCTCCAGATTTCATCTCTTTTGTGTTTGTCCACTGCATGACATAAGGCCAATTTTAGACGGAGATGCTGCTGTTGCCTGAGCCCTTTTTGACAGCGTGAGGAGTGGTCAGGCTGGATCAGGGAGGGGTAGGGTCTGTTGAGCCCACCTCAGTGGGTTGTACTGCCCCAGGGCAGTCCCAGCTCTTTGGCTGTTGCTCCCTATTTCAGAGTGAGAAGAGCTGGAGCAGTGACTGTCCCTTTGCTAACCTGGGCTGAGCTCAGAACGGGATGTGTTCAGGGTTTGAAGCCCCAGTTATATTTAAGCTCTGTGCTTTAAATTCTGTTTCTAATTCAAATAGCTCTACAGGAAACTATTTGTCAGTATTTCTTTTTTCGAAAATAAAATCAAAGGCAATGAAAGTAAAATTTCAACTTTTTCCCCCAGTGTTTAGATTACTAGGTATTTCTAGAGGAGTGAAGTAGATTCTCTTTGGTCACTCAGCACTGGCACTGCCTTCTGTGAGGGGAAATGAAATGCTTCAGCGTCAGAGTGCACAAAGGAAATAGCTGAGAAATAAAAAACCCAAAATAACAGTGCTAATATTTCCTTTTTATATAGTTTCCTATTTTAAAAGATAGTATAAAAAGCAGTGTTACTTCTAGATGACCTTGTTGTAGTGGCTGTTGTGGCAGGAAGCTCCAGAAGTGTGTAATGTGATTTTTTTTCTCTGGCATGGGAGCACACAGAACTAGATCTATGACACAGTTTCTTTGAGAGGTTCTTCTGAAGTGTTTTAGCACTCAGTGGTGTTGAGCTTTGCTGCTGCTGTCAGCACAGAGACTTGAAAATTCAAATAAGAAGTACTAGTAATGGTGAAATTTCAAATTAAATATATCTGTCATCCACCAATGACTTCCAAAAATGTGTTGTAAAATAACATCTAACAGTGAAAACAAAGCTTGAGTCATAAGTGGTGTTTATTCTGCTTTTCTGGGGTTAAAATGAGCACATGGAAGCGCCCTGTGCTGCTGTAAATCGTCGCCCTGGGAAGGCTCAGGGAATCACAGATTTCAGTGGAAATGACCTGGATTGCCCTGTGGTGCTGTGGGAGGGTGTGCAGGTGAGGATGTCAGACCCTCTCCTGGAGGAACAGCCCTCAGGGTGTTCCTGGAGCCCTGTCATGTCCAGAGCCCACCTTCCTCAGGGAGCTGCCAGTGCTCCGGGGGCTTTGGGCTCACCTAACCTGCCACTTGCCACTTCCTTTGGATGAACAGTCACTCTTAGGAAAGACAGCCAATCTCCAGAGTGACCCTAGGCCCTGGTACCAAAAGAGCTGAACTTAAACCCAAACCAAAGCTCGGCTTGTACAGAGAGGAATCCCCCCTGGGCATCAGTGTGGTGGAGGCCCATTTCCCAGCCCCAGGACGTGCACTCAGAACTGTTGAGCAAAAGTGTTCCAAGCTGGGTTCTTTGAGTCATCTTGCATTCTAAACACGGGCATTTCAGCCTCTCCCATCACAGCCAGGGGTGTCAGGGGCTTGCAGAGGTGTTGGGGGCTGCTGGTGGGGAGGGTGCCCTCCCCAGAGCCCCCAGCCTGGGAGGTGGCTCTTTAAGCATTTTGCAGCTGTAAAGCTGATTGTAATTCCTTGGAATCCTTCTTTTACCCTCTCAAGTTCTCTCTCTCTGGTAATCTCCCCAATGCACAAATACTGCACCGTGGCATTTCCACTGAGCTGTCGGTGTTGTTCAGAATACAGGTTTAGCCACAGTTCTAGCCAAAATTTGTTAAAACTTGTAGTAGCAATTCGAGTTTCTATGAATAGGGAATTCCAAGGTCACACTTCAAAACACAAACAGCACAAACTCTGCTGCATTTGTTTGCTTTTAAACACTGTAAACCCTCAGTGAGATGTTTTTCTGAAGAGTCGCCTCTCTGATGTTCTCGGGGCATTTGAGTGGGCAGGGGCAGTGGGTGGGTGCCTGGGAAGTGACTTGTTTGTGACCCCTGAAGAATTTGGGTACGGCAGGAAAAAAAGTGCCCAGTGTTCACACAGCAAGAGGAACATCTCGGGCTTGTGCAGTCACTCTGAATCTTCTCCTGCCTGGAAAAGATGCATTTCAGGTCTGCTTTGTCCCACTGGGTGTTGGGCAGGGACAGGTAACGTGGGGCTCACAGGTGCTTGAGGTGTGTTGGAAGTCGAGATGCATCTCCTGGGAGTGTTTTTGGGGGACCCCTGAGTCACCACGTCCTTGGGGGCTGCAGGGTCACTGCTGGTTCCTCCCAGGCCTCAGTGGTGCCTCTTGGCCAGTTCTGTCCTGTGCCAGAGCAGGGAGCACACGTGGAGCCACTGCTGCTGCCTCCCAGCCTGCTCTGGGAGCTCCTGGCATTTTACCTCATTTTACCTCCTCTCAGGGCCCAAAAGGCTTTTTTTTTTTTTCTTGCATGTATTAGCCTTGGAGATTTTTGTTCTTTAATGATCTAATTTTTGAAATAAACAATCTTTTCTTAGAATTCTGTCTTACATTTTTCTGTTCTTTTGGATTGCTTTGACATTCAGTTTGTAGAAAATTTATCATAAAATAGAGGTTTACTTTCAATTCAGAGAAAGGAACAGGTGAACTTCAGCATTTTGTTTTATAGATAACTAATGGAAAAATGAATGTAGAGAAAATGAAAACATATTTGCAGTTGTCTCTTGTAGAATGTTTTTCAAGGTTGTTTCTAGTGTGTCACAAATTTTTAACTCATCTTTAAAGCTCTGAAAAAGCTTATAACAGTTTTCTCTTGTAGCTTCCAATCAAGGTTTGCCAGCAGAATACCCACACCAAAGTCAGTACGGAGCACAACAAGGAATGTCTCATCAACATTTCCAAGTACAAGTTTTCCCTGGTCATCAGTGGTCTCACTACTATCTTAAAAAATGTTAATAACATGGTAAGTTTTCTAATTTTGCATTTTTTGGTGATTTTGTTCAAGTGGTTGCTATTTATTTGTGTTGTACAATCTGCAGAGAATTACTTGAAATTTAGTCAAACTGTTGCTTGCCTTGTACACTTAATTTTTTCTGTTCTGAAGTTCACCAGCAGCATCTCTTGGAGCCACAGAAAGGCAGTGGGAGCTGGGGCAGAGAAATCCAAAGGCAGGGGGTGGTTAAGGGGAATCCTCTGTTAGTGTGGGGTCTGCAGCTGGGCAGGTGTGAGGTTGGAGCTCTGGGTACAGAAGGTACCTGACACTGCCCCGGGGCTCGGAGCAGAGGCTGTGCTGCCATGGGAAGGTGCTTCAGGTGTCCAGGACAGCAGTGCAGGGAGCATCTGAAGGGCAGGAGTGCAGCAGGGCAAAGGAGCTCCTGAGAAAGATCCAGTGGGATGTTTTGTTTTTAAAATGGAAAGCCTGGGTTTGGATTTATCACGAGAAAAGCTCATTGAGTTTTGGAGCCACGTGATCTGTGATCGTGTGGACTCTCCCCAGACAGGTAACACAACTGGCCAGGCTCTAGCAGTCCTTCTTTTTATGGTTTTTATAGCTTATGTAGCCACTTTGCTACTTTACTTTAGTGCATTGCAAGTCAAATTCCTGTGTCTCAGATGAATCCATATCCTTTCTACTTCTAGAGAATATTTGGAGAAACTGCTGAAAAGAATTTGTATCTATCTCAGCTGATTATCTTGGATACACTGGAAAAATGTCTGGCAGGGGTGAGTAGGCTTGCATAAGCAATTGCTAAGTGGGAATCAAATGGGTTGGAGAGTACAAGTCAAATGCTTGTGTGTCTGTTATTACTGGTACTGAAGTTAAAACTGATCAAAGTAGAATTAATGCCATTTAAAAAATAATAAAGCTTCCTATAAATACATGTAGTTGAGATAATTGATACATTAAAGATTTGGAGGGTGCTTTTTTTTTGCCTAGAATTAGTGACATCTTTTCTGCTAAATAGATTCTTGTAAACTTTTGATATTGCCGGTTCTGCCACTCAACAAATTTGTAGAGTTATAAGTAATGGTTTTTCATTTAATAGCTTGATAAAAGGATTTGTGGACAACTAGACAACTCTACTCAGTCATGTATGAACTGGAGTAAGGGGAGACACAAACCCCAACCAAGGATTAGAGGTGGTTATGAAGCTTCACTAGATTTTTGTAGGCTTTGAATGCTCGTGGGATATCCTGCTCAGTATTTCCTGAACAGATACATTGAAACATTTCCATCCATTTAAACAGAAAAAGTAACATGATAGTAAATCATGTTCAAAGTAGCAGATAATTCAGTACAAGTATTTGTTTCCTGCTGCTGAGTTCTCTGCAGACAGTGCTGAGTTTTCTTTGCATTTCTTGAAGCTTTCGTTTGTCGAAGTCCTTTTCCATGTACGTTTCTGTGCAGCAGAACCTTTGCTGGCACTGCTGTGCAGATGACTTCTGCAGGTGTTTCCTAGATTGCATTGCTGGCCCTGTCCAAGCCCTGCAGTCAGAGCTGGAGAGGCACTTTGCTGGTCCCTGTGGGTGACAGCGGTGCTGGCTGGACACGGGCTGTGCTGGGCTGGGACTGCAGAGCCACACTGCACTGGGAGCAGCACTTGCAGTGCTGTATTCCTCCAACAAGAAGGGATTTGCTTTTTAAAGCTGTATTCCTGGAGGAATGTCCTGAAATCATCTGAGCTCTTTGCTGTTTCCCTGCACCAGTTTTTGAAGGTTCTTTCTGTGTAAGGTAATGACCTTACTATGGTTAGACCTGTCAAGCGACCCATCTTACAGTACTAAACTGGTCTGAATAGTTGTGGATTCTTCTAAAATCACAAAAGATCCAGGTAAATACATTTTCCATTTAAACAGCCTAAATCTGTGCTGAATATTTCTTGCTCCGTCAGTTCAAATGAGAGCGGTTTGAGGCAGAATATGTTAAATAAGAGTGAGCCAAAGGTCTGTACAAAGCATGTTGTGTTCTGTGGTATCTTCAGATGTATTTCTTGCTCAATGTTTCATCAAGTTCTCATGGCAACAGGACTCAGGTCAACTAAGTGGGAGTCTCTGAAACTTCCCAATTCCCTATGGAAAATTCATTGGTAAAATTTTAGAAAGCTTTAATGCTGACCCTTCTGTTAAAACTTGCTCTTAGTAGAGCAAAGTTTCACTTTGAATTCTTTTGTAAATAGTTTCCTTATGTCTCACACTGTGCACATTGGCAAAAATTAGATTTTTTTCTGTTGCAGGGAAGTTAAGCCATTTTTGACTCATATAGAGAAACCCCCAGCAAGAACCAGGGAGAAACACCTCTTTTTTGGTTCATTTTTTAGTGCAAAATACTCGCTGTCAAAACGTAGTGACCAAGGTCTTACCCAAAAGAGGTGTGAGGGTGAATCTTTGCCCTTTAGCCTTCGTGCTCTGCTGATCCTTGACTCAGAGCAGCTTCCAGGGTGCCCTCATCAGAACAAAGAGTGGATTACTTCAAAAACCAGTTTGGTGTTTTGCTTCATACTTGGTGATGTTGATCAGCCTCGTGTCCTCCCTCTTTGGGAGCCTTAGCTGGGAGTGTGGGGTGGTTTGGCCACGCTGGGATGTTGCTGGGATGGAGAGCAGCCGTTCTGTGCAGCCCCCTGGGCCGTGCTCGGTGGAACCTGGGGCAGATCGGGAGGGCAGACCCAGGCCCTGGGCCTGCTCGTGGCAGATGCTCCAGGTTTTTTGCCTCCAAACCAGAATTCAGTCGAGCACTTGTTTATTTTTAGCAACCAAAGGACACCATGAGGCTGGACGAGACGATGCTGGTGAAGCAGCTGCTGCCCGAGATCTGCCACTTCATCCACACGTACCGCGAGGGCAACCAGCACGCGGCCGAGCTGCGCAGCTCCGCCTCGGGGGTGCTCTTCTCCCTCAGCTGCAACAACTTCAACGCCGTCTTCAGCCGCATCTCCACCAGGTACGGGGCTGGGAGCACCTCCTGGGGCTGGGAGCACCTCCTGGGGCTGGCAGCACCTCCTGGGGCTGGGAGCACCTCCTGGGGCTGGGAGCACCCCCTGCCCACTGCCTGGGGGCTGCCCGTGCACACAGTGCAAAGTGCTGTTTGACGAGGTCCTTCTCCAATGGGGCTCCTTTCAACATTTCCCTTGAGTTCCAGGTTACAAACTGAACCTTCCCTGCCCCTCCTGGGTTACTGCTGACATGCTTCCTGCGAGCTGCATTTATTGCTTTTTTAATCTGCTTTCAAAAGTACAGGTGAAAATAATGAATGAAAATAATTCAGCTGAGTAAGTTGAGTAGAGTTCTTCTGGGTGCAAGGTGTCTTGGAAATAAAAGGATGCTGAAGCTAAAGGGTTGTATCCCTTTACTTACAAATTTAGAGGGAAAACTGGAGATTGTCCACAGCTCTGCTGGAGCCCCCAGGCTGTTTTCCTGTCTAATTTTTCCGGCTAGGAGGCTTTTATGTTAAATCTGTCTTATGCCTGAAGGGGACAAACAGCTGGGCTGTTTGTTAATTGTGGGAAAAGACCCATTTGTCTTCTGACTGACTTGAGTTTCACAGCACATTTACTGTAAAAATAACTGGGTTTTCTGCTTTTCTGAGTGAGAAGGGAGACAAGCACAAAATTTCCATCTATTCTTTGCTGGTTTTGCCCTGTTCCAGATCCTTCTGATGCTTCAGCATTTGTCAGTCCACTACAGTGGTGTTAAGCTTTTTATTCCTGAAATACTTTGATGTTTCTTGAAAGGTGTTTGAAGCAGCTTAGCTCTTGTCACACAGTATATAACAGCTGAGATCATCCTGTAATAGAAGTGGAGCTCGGGCAGCCTTCTGTGGTCACACAGCAGTGAGTGAGCCAATTTAATGGAAACAAAGATTTATATTTTCATTATGTATTTATCTATTCTTTTGGAAAATATTTGCATTTTAGAAATCGGTCTAAAATGATTAATTCTGAACTATTTTCAGAGTTTTTACAGAGCCTTTAATAACTTTTATTTCAAGATAGACTTGGCAGCTAGCATGAAGGATGTGGTTTTACTCAATAGGTTGATTGTGTTTTGTTGCTTATGGAAATGGAAACAATTTCTTTTGCTCCCTTTATAGGAAGTATTTTTCAGTTACAATTTTTTGAGTCTGTGAATCTAGTCTGTGGATCTGCATGTATTTGTAGCATGGTTTGTTCCCAAGCTCCAAAGCCCTCCTTCCCACCCCTTTGAGCTAGAGCAGAGTGCTTTCCCCTGAGCTGTTTTTCCCTTCACATGGCTTGCACAGCAACAGTTAAATGTTTGACCAGCTCTCTGGTCTCCACAGGGGTCACTCCGCCAGTCAGCACTGCTGATCTCTGACCTGGGTTTCCTGTTTAGGAATATTTCTGGGCCTTGCACAGCAGCTGGGGGAGTTCTGGCATGAAAAGCACAGCAGTGGGGACCTTCCCATTCCCAGCGAGGGCTGTTAAGTTTCCTGGCGTTGGAGAAATGAAGAACTGCTTTTGTGTCTAGTACTAGAAATCACATTCCATGTCTGAAACACATCTGTAGCTTTGGAACACGCCAGGGCAGTCTGAGTTTGTGGGAACATATGCTCTAGTTGTTAGTGGCCTGGTGTCTGTGAGATGTTGAGTAAATTATCTGATACACAAGTGTGAAAAGATGCCATTGTGTTTAAACTGGTGTGATTAAACTTGATCCTGTTTGCTCAGGCCACAGAACTGTGCACCAGGAATGATTGTAGCTCAGTCCAGTGACACCAAGGACCATCAGTCTCTGCTTTACTCTGAGAACTTAGCTGGGGCAGGACTTGCTGCTAAGGAGCAGTAGCCTAAAGGTGTCATGATTCCATTAATCTAATGGTTAGTTGAAAAGATGACAAGGTTACTGCTACAGTAGGGTGGGTGACACAAGGATTTAGGCAAATCTTGGGCACAAACACCAGAAGGTATTGGCATTTTGTAAGGCTCACCACTGGTATTTCTAGCTCCATTTTTGGTATGAGGGTGTAATAAGACTATAATATTAACTCTTAATCATGCAAGATCCATCTTTTATTTCTAAACATGGAAAAGTTTATCTGAGGAAATGGTAGTTTATGAGGAGGTCACAGAATGTTCCCTGCTACCGAAATGTGTAGAATCCTAGGTGTGTTCATACCTGTCTGACACGATATGATGGATTTAATTTGCTTTGCTTATTTTTAGGTTGCAGGAACTGACTGTTTGCTCAGAAGATAATGCTGATGTTCACGATATTGAGCTTTTACAGTACATCAGTGTGGATTGTTCCAAACTCAAGCGACTCTTGCAAGGTATGATTTGAGCCTGTGTTTTGAAATACTTCTTTTTCAGTCTGGATAGTCAGAGATGACACTGCAATTGATATATCTTTTATTGCCCTGTTTTACTCCAAACAGTCATATATTTACCAAAATATTATAAAATAGTTAAGTAGCATAAAAACATCAGTTTGAAAACTGCTTTGCACTTCAAATGTCTTTTATAACCTGTGTTGCTTTTTAGATCCAAGTTTCTGTTCTAAGTGCAGAAATGTTTTATCTTTACAGAGACTGTATTCAAGTTTAAAGCCCTTAAGAAAGTAGCTCAGTTAGCTGTTATCAACAGTCTGGAAAAGGTAAGGTTTCAATGCTTGTCTTTCATTGCTTATTTGCAGACTTCCTCTAGGAATAGTTGCAATTCAGTGATTTACTATAAAATATAAGTGGTTGTCTCCCTTTGATGCAAATATGTTTTGTAAGAAATTTTGTGTGATTAAGAATAAAATCTCGCTTCATTTAAATACATAATTCAGAAAAACCGTTTGAAAACTCTGGAATGAAAAGGTGTTTTGCATTATCTGCAGGCATTTTGGAACTGGGTGGAAAACTATCCTGATGAATTCACAAAGCTGTACCAAACACCCCAGACTGACATGGCTGGTAAGGCATAACACATGACAGTGTTCAAAGGCTGGTCTCTCAGACATCCCCAAAATGCATTCACTTGCATTTTGTGCCCTCTTTGCTCCTTGTGCAGCCTGCAAATAAACAAATTTCTGTCACCTTTACCAGGGCAGGTAAGGTTATGTTGCCATCTCTCTTCTTTCCTGACTCCCCTATTAGAGATTATTATTGTGCTTCACAACACAAAGAAATAAACCCCAAAAGATGGAGACTCTTTGAATGTATATTTTTCATCTCGATACAGGACAAAAACTTAGACAACATCACCTTTATTTTTCTCTAGTGACAAAGAGAGGAAAATTTATATTTTCGGATAAACCATGTCCTTAACTGGGTTGAGACCATGTTATCCCCAGCAGTATGCCAGTAATGTGCAAAAGAGAACCTTTCTTCTGTGTAGGTGGAACTATCCCTCTGCTCTTTTACACCTATCCTTTGTCTCTGGAATTAAAACTGGTATTGAACTTGGTTTTATGTTTTATGCAGATTGTGCTGAGAAGTTGTTTGACTTGGTGGATGGCTTTGCTGAAAGCACGAAGCGTAAAGCAGCAGTGTGGCCACTGCAGATCATCCTCCTGGTCCTGTGTCCAGAGATAATCCAAGATATAGCAAAGGACGTGGTAGAGGAGACTAAAATGAACAAGGTAAGACAGGTAGCTGAATTCTGGCTCTGGTTTCTGGAGGATGCTTGCTTTTGCTGATTCTGTATTTCAGGTATATTTAATTTTGTCTTTCCTGCCTAAAGAGCACATTGCAGTTCCCTGTGTAAATTTATGCACCTCTTTTGAGTTCTCACATATCTTCTTTCACTGTCAGTAATTCATATGGATAGTATGTCCCAAACAGTGTTATTTCAGAACTTCTCCATCTCCTTGGAGATTTGACCCTCTGTGCTGTCATTTCCTCTGCCTCCAGCAGCAGCAATGGGAGCCTTGCTGGTGTTTGACTGTGCTGAGGAGTTGTGGGGCCTGCAGAGTGTGCTCTGTGCTCCATGGGTGCTGCACCTGCAGCTGGTGTCGAGTTTGATGTGGCTGCAAACGTGGCTGAGAGGGAACAACCACCTCTGTGCCAGTGTGATTGCCCCAGACCCACCAAAGGGAATGGCATTAATAAATACAGAATTTCCCCAGAGGGCTGCATCAAGTTGTTTTTTGCCATCCCAGTATCTGCTTATAACTGTTCCTGTTTGAATTCTGCAGAAGCTGTTCCTGGACAATCTCAGGAAGGCCCTTGCAGGCCACAGTGGGAGCAGGCAGCTGACTGAAAGTGCTGCTATTGCTTGTGTTAAACTGTGCAAAGCATCTACCTACATCAACTGGGAAGATAATTCTGTCATTTTCCTGCTGGTGCAGTCCATGGTACTAGATCTTAAGGTAAAAATGTCTGTTTCCTAATTGCAGTGAGAAATTTGAGTTTTAAAATACAGAAATAAACTTTGAATTTCTCCTTAATTGATTACCAGTGGTTTTCACTGGAAAGTTTTATATTGAAAGTAGACAGGAATAATCTTGGTACCTTATTTACATGTTTGCATTTTTCTGAAATAAATAGAACCTGCTGTTTAACCCAAGCAAACCTTTCTCAAGAGGCAATCAGAATGCAGATGTAGACCTGATGATTGACTGCTTGGTTTCCTGCTTCCGCATAAATCCTCACAACAACCAACACTTTAAGGTGAGAACAGCACTTACTGGTAAGTCATTCTCTGCATGCCATTGACGACCTGTCAGTTACAAAAGCTGTGCTAGCAGCAGCTGGAGGCTCATAAATGAGTTCAGCTGTATAAATATCCCTTAGTAATAAATCCCTGCATGTTATTATAAAACTTTCCCCGGCTGATTAGGCTTCCCTTGTTCAGATTTGACAGCTTTGTCAATTTAATAAAAAGGCTTCAAGATGTTATTCAGTGTGATAAGAAAGATGGGAAAGACAAAGATGTTCCTAAGTGGCTTTTATGTATTTTTATTGTAGATCTGCTTGGCACAGAATTCCCCATCAACATTTCATTATGTGCTGGTAAATTCGCTCCACCGAATTATCACAAATGTAAGTTCTGGCAGTATTTCATCAGCCCAGGGATCTGGGGCTTCTATTCAGATCAATATCTGCTCAGTAAATGCAGTTTGGGGAGTAGACCAAATCTTGTTGCTCGTGTCCATGCAGCAGGAGTTGCTTGCTAATAAGGAAGAGCGTGCAAATCTGCCTGTGCTTCCCACCAGTGGATTCCCAGTGTGAGAGCCCAGATTCCAGTATAACATCTATAACATTTCAGTGCAGAGATGTACATATCCCTCTGATGTAGGATGACAAATAAATCTCATGATCTGTGGTTTTATGATAAATATTGATACCTGAAAACCACTCTCAGGACATGCACAGTTGCACCACCTTCTGCTACTTGCAGTAGCAAGTTGACCTGGGGTAGAGCTGGTCTCGTGGTTTTCTTTGGGCATCTAAGTAGTGTGAAATAAGGGTAAGTGCTGAGAGATGAAAATATTTTGAAAGTTTGTGCAGTTGTTCATCTACCACACCCTTCTGCACTTCTGGTTTCAGTTTGTTCAGGTAGGAGAGTGATGTAGTGAGCAGCCAAGTTGGAATTAGCTCTTCTGTGTATCATGAGTTTCACGATGAGAACGCAGACGTGTGGGTAGCACTGTGTCACACAGGTGCAAGGATGGCCTCTGTAAGCTGGGAGGTGCCCAGCAGGGGTGGGGGTGCTGCAGCAGCAGTGTCACAGCCTGGCTGTCCCCTGCAGTCGGCGCTGGACTGGTGGCCCCGGATCGACGCCGTGTATTGCCACTCGGTGGAGCTGCGCAGCATGTTCAGCGAGACCCTGCACAAGGCCATCCAGGGCTGCGGGGCCCACCCCGCCATCCGCATGACCCCGGTAAGCACACCCCTCCTCTTGGGCATGGCTCCAGCCAGCCCAGCTTTCTGAGTCATTGGCTTTACACTGGAACCTAGAGAGGGGAAGAACACAAAGCAGCAGAGAGCCACACGTGCTCTGTGAGCCTGCAGGTGTTGGGGGAGTGACTCTTTCTGGTTCCATGTTTCTCCAGTTTTCTCCTGCTGCTTTTAAACTGGCAATGTAGAAGTATTTCTTCTGTCTTCTGTGGCTAACTGTCCATTTATAGCTTTCTGGCTGTGTGAATAGCAGGGTAACACATCCATTCTTGCTTAATCTGAAAAACAAAAGCATTCTGTATGTAAAGATAATTGTTGAAAACTGCAGTGCTTTTACCATGGTTGGCACGAGTAGGTCTTCATTTGTCTTGCTTTCTGTTGAGCAAGTTGACTGTTTGGTCTTGGTGACAGCAATAAAATAAAGATTTTTCAAGCATTATGAAATAAAGTCAGTATTCTTGGCTGTCTTGGAAAAAGTCTTGAGTAAATTGAGATTTTGCCATAGTTTCTTATGCAAAAACTTTTATGTCCACGTACAGCTCACTGAAACAATTCTTACAGCAACTTCAAAGGTTCAGTGAAGGGATTGCCTGTGGGAGAGGGGGATTTTGAAGTAGAAGGCTGTGCAACTATACTTGAATTTCGTATACTTCTAAACTTTGTCTTGAGTTATAGGTTATAAAAGCAATATATTTCATAAGATGTTTAATTGTAACTGTTATGTTTGACTACCTTCCTGACAAGGACTGTGGCTGTTTTTCCTTCCATCAGAGTCTTACATTTAAGGAGAAAATGACAAGCCTTAAATTTAAAGAAAAACCTACTGATTTGGAAACCAGAAGCTACAAGTTCCTGCTGTTGTCCTTGGTAAAACTGATCCATGCAGATCCAAAGCTCTTGCTGTGTGTAAGTATATCCCACTATCGCACTGCTCATTTGTGGTGGAGTTTGCTTTTGAAGCTGCTAAATGAATAAAGATTAAAAACATACACCTGGCATCTAGGACACGTTCTGCTCATCCTTGTCTCTGGTTATGATGCTCCTGTGCTTTTAAAGGGAAAAGATAGAACAAAAAGAAACTGTAATAGGTTTTGTAGAATCAGAGCAACACAATGAGAAGGAGCATAAAGTTCTGTGACTCTGAAGGGGAAGATGGGGGAAGGAGAGGGGAATAGAAGAAAATTAAAATGAGGAGGTTGGAAATTAGTCATAATTTCAGTGAGTAGAAAGACATACAGTCTTAGATCTTCCATTTTCTCAGGTCTGTCATTGTTTAATTTAAACATATTTCAGTTCTATCAAAGACATGACATGCAAGGGGTTTCCATGGATTAAAAATAAAATGACAGACTCTCCTAAAGATCCCAAAATCCACCTGGTTCAACCAGAGGAATGCTGCTGTAGCAGTCAGTAATGTGGGCAGGCATTAAAAAGTTCTCCAGCTTAAATTTGCTTCCCTTGTTGCTGTTCAGAATCCCAGGAAGCAGGGCCCTGAGACCCAGGGGAGCACGGCAGAGCTGATCACAGGCCTTGTCCAGCTGGTGCCACAGTCCAGCATGCCAGACATAGCCCAGGAGGCCATGGAGGTGAGCACTGGGGCAGGCACTGGCATTTTCACAGCTGGACATTGGTAATGTTAAAGCCAGAACCTGTCTTTTACAAACATTGTGTCTGTGTGCCTGGGATGGCTTTGTGTGGAAATACAGGGGAAAACCTCTAGGTTTGGAGTACGAATGTGGATAAAGACTCTGAAATGAAATAATTCTGATGTGGACTAACAATGAACTCTTGTTCTTCTGTATAATCCTTCTGTCATGCTTTTTACATCTTATGTTCAAAACAATGTAATGGATGTGTGCCTGCAGCTATTTCTCTGCCTGTGCTCGTGCACCCTGTGAATTGCTGTCTTTAAGCAAGACTCTCTGGTTTGACTTTAGGCCTTGCTGGTTCTGCACCAGCTGGACAGCATTGACTTGTGGAATCCTGATGCTCCTATAGAAACATTCTGGGAAATCAGGTATGTAAATTAACTTCTATAAATGAGAGAAATAGCTGTTATGATTTGTCTTCTTTTAAATAGCTGTGAGTATTTCGGGAAAGCTCTGCAACAACAGCAGGAATCTGCAGTCAGAATTGTCATGGAGAAGTTGTATCTTCCTTACACTATAGAAATTTAATAGAAATATAACAAACATTTTGCTGGCTCCCTTAATGACACTCTTCAGCAGATGTTGAGGTGTAGAAATGATTATTAGTTTGAAAAGTTGGAGATTTCCCCCCTCATTCAAATGATCGCTGCTTTTTAAATTCTATTTCATCCTTTTGGGACTAAGGGGAGGTTAATGCTGAGCAATTCCAGAAGTGTGGGTTTGCTAATCCTGACTCTGAAGCCCTCCCCTAAAGAAGGTGATAGCTTGGCCTGACCTGCAGTCTCCATTGGTCTTTCCTGTATATTTATGAGGAAATTTAATTAATTAAAATCATCTTGCCTTTATAAGTTCAGAGCAGCTGTTGTGGTTGATTTCTTGGAGAATATTAAGGGAAATGAAGTTCCAAAAAAGTCAAAATTACACAAAATGCTAAACCAAAAAATAGGAATGTGTAAACTCGGAATTGTAAGAATTGCATGAGCTAAATAATAAACCCAGTAGTATTTGGTGCTTTACTGTGAATTGGTGCTGATGTTTGGTGGAGAAGGAGGGAACAGCAGTGTAGGAGGAAGCCTGGGCTGAGCCCCCCGGACAGGCAGGAACTGACACCCAGGGCTGTAATTTGTAGGAACAGCAGTGGGTTTGTGTTCTGTTCGGGCTGGGGGAAAACCCATCCCAACTGACACTAATTTGGACCCTTTGGCAGTTTTAACAGAGAGTGTGAGGCCTGAATGGATATGAAGAAGGAACATCCCTAGATGTGTTCCTTCCAGAGCAGAGTTGAGGCGTTGTCAGAGCAGTGTAGGTAACCTTGTCCTGCCCTGTCTGTGCTGTATCTGTCTGGGGAGAGCTGGACGCCCCGAGCCCACGGCCCCGAGCGTGGGCTGGGACAGGACCCCGTCTGGGACAGGACCCCATGGCTGCAGGGCCTCAGGAGCTGAGCAGGCTGCTGGGGGTGGGCAGGGCCCCCGGGGAGCTGGGTGTTCCCAGTGCACACTCTGCTCTCTGTGGGACATTCCAAGAGCCAGTGTTAGCCCTGCACAGGGTGTTCATGCACAGGGCCTGTTCCCACGGGAAGTGCAGTGCAGCACCTTCACCCCGGCGGTCCCACATCTGAGGCTAACGCTGAACTTCGTTTTGCTGCAGTTCACAAATGCTTTTTTATATCTGCAAGAAGCTCACGAGCCATCAGATGCTGAGCAGCACGGAAATCCTCAAGTGGCTGCGAGAGATTCTCATCTGTAGGAATAAATTTCTTCTAAAAAACAAAGTAAGTGAGTGTTGCCATCTCTGTTAGGATCATCAACACACATTGTTCTCTGCTTTGTCACTTCCTTTATTTACCACACTATTCTTATGATTGGAAGAAATTTAATAGCTACACCTACACTTTCTGTTCTCTGATTTCCTCTCTGCTTTGTGAGGCACCTCAGTTAGAAAAGTTAACCACAGTTAGGTTTGGGATTTTTATTTTCTTTTTTACTTTAGCTATATAGGTTGTTTTACTTGCCTGGAAAATGTGTTTCACAGAAACCTATGCCTTATGCCCTAATATAAAGGGAACCAGTCCCCAAAGTGAGAAAAAGGGAAAGTAGTTGTGGTAAAATGTAGGCCTACATGGATAAAATAAAAGTTTTCTTTTTGATCTCAGGCTTCTCTGAGTCTCAGAATTCTGATTTACTTCTTTCTGATAATCTTAAAATATCAAATAGTGTATTTCTTAAGGGAAATACCATTCTAAGATACCATTAATGTGGGTAACTTTATAAAGCCCTGAGAGCAGCGGTGGAAAAAGTACCGTGTAAATGTTGAGGATCCTTTTACCTTCCTCAAATCTATCCTTTTTGCACGTTTTAAAAACTATGTTGATATATTGTTTTTCTCCCCTCTTTTCATAGCAGTCAGATAGGAGTTCCTGCCACTTCCTCTTCCTTTATGATGTCTCTGGAAGTGGAACTAGCCAAATTTCTCTTGACCATGAAGAAATGANTGTGCACCAGGAGCTACCCTCAGGAAGGGGAAAGGGAATTCTTCCATGGTAAGTAATACATGATAATAGTTAATTTTAGCACTTGGGAAAAAACCCTATGTGCACGTAGAAATTAAATTACTTTGGGAGTAATTTTAAAAAATAGAATTAAGTATTTCTAAGGAGGAGAAGACATCTGTATCCTAAATAATGTATGTATTTAATATGCTGGTTAATAATGATGTTTCAGACTTTACAAAGTCACACCTTCTTCAGTTAAGATGTTGATGAGTATGTCCTCCTTAGGAATGCACACGGCATCCCTTGTGGCAGCATACAGAGCTCTGAGCCTGTGTAGGATTGCTTATTCCTACTGGCATAAAGGCAGTTTAAACACGGTTTGGCTGAGGCTGAATCTTGATAAAACTGCCTTGTTAATCAGCAGTATTCCCAAACGGGGAATTCTGTGTTTCCCAAGGAAAGCACGGCGGGATGCAGCGGAACACCCATCTGTCGCCAAGCCCAAACCAAACTGGAAGTGGCCTTATACATGTTCCTGTGGAGCCCAGATATCGAGGCAGTGCTGGTGGCCATGTCCTGCTTCCGGCACCTCTGCGAGGAGGCCGACATCAGGTGTGGGGTGGATGAAGTCTCCGTGCACAATTTCCTGCCCAACTACAACACTTTCATGGAGTTTGCGTCTGTCAGCAACATGATGTCAACAGGTGAGGATCAGGAGTCAGAACACCTTTCTACCTGGATGATAAGACTGTTCTTTGTGTTTGAGTTCTTCAAACAGGTTGAGATTCTTGATTTGATTCTGCTCTGGCTTTTCCTGAAATATCTCAATTTCTAGAATTGCTAGAAAGTGTAAAGAATTTGGGTGACTGAGTTCATGAGGATTTTACGGTGTAACAAGATGCTGCCTTTTCTAAACACTTTAAGGGGATGTGTTCCTCTTGGTTCAATAATTGCTTTCAAAGATCACAGATTTGATGTAGGTGGGTTTTCAAAAAATTGTTCTGTGCCCTTTGTAGGGAGAGCAGCTCTTCAGAAGAGAGTGATGGCGTTACTGAGGCGCATCGAGCACCCAACTGCAGGCAACACAGAGGTGAACTTCCTTCTCAGTTCATACACTCCTTGCATGCATATTGCCACAAGTGGTTTTGAAATTAAATCTTGATATATCTTCTTTCAGGCCTGGGAGGATACACATGCAAAGTGGGAACAAGCTACAAAACTAATCCTCAACTATCCAAAGACCAAAATGGAAGATGGGCAGGTGACTATGAACTCTTGCATGGTTTCAACCTGTAGAAATTCAAAGTAACTCTTTAAGCTTATATATTTTAAGGAATCTGAACTTTAATCTAGAAAATCAGTTTTGTAGGCAGACAGAAACTCCGTGAAAGTATTCCAGAAAATTAATGGTAATCTGTTGTCTGCTTTGTTTGCTAAGAGACTGTCATGGTTTGAGATGACCCCCCTGGGAGTCGGGGCACCAGATAAGATGGTATGGTTTGAAGCTGGCTCCCTGCCAAGTCTCCAAACCTTACCAGAGACCAAGAAGTAATTTGACTTAAATTGCTGTGGAGGAGAATGAAGCTGAGCTGAAAAATTAAAAATAAATCGAAACAAAGAGTAGGGAAAACTGTGGAATAGTGCTAGAGAAACTCTGAAATCCCTTTCACTGGAAGTTTTTAGACAAACCACTGGCTACCATGATTTAAATGTGCTTTATCCTGGTGGCAGAGCAAGGGATTGACTGGCAACCCCCTTCAGTCCTCTCTAGCCTTACTTCTCAACCTCCCTGGGAGCAGCCTCTGTAGAGATTTCTGTTCCTGCTGTCACAGAAAGGTGAACACTGTGACAGATGGACACTGTCAGAGGTGAATTTTTGGAACTGTGAGTGGCAGGCTGTGTTCCAGAGCACTCCTGATCTCTCCCCGTGTGTTTAACGGTGAGGTTTGAGCGCCAGCCCCTCTGTTGCAGGTCACGGAGAGTCTGCACAAGACGATTGTGAAGAGGCGCATGTCCCACGTCAGCGGGGGCGGCTCCATCGACCTGTCGGACACGGACTCGCTGCAGGAGTGGATCAACATGACAGGGTTCCTGTGTGCCCTGGGGGGGGTGTGCCTGCAGCACCGCAGCAACACCGGGCTGGCCACCTACAGCCCCCCCATGGGCCCCATCAGCGAGCGCAAGGGCTCCATGATCTCCATGGTGTCCACCGAGGGCAGCGTCGAGACCCCCGTCAGCAAGTTCATCGACCGGCTCCTGACCCTCATGGTCTGCAACCACGAGAAGGTGGGGCTGCAGATCCGCACCAACATCAAAGATCTGGTGGGCTTGGAGCTGAGCCCAGCACTCTATCCAATGCTCTTCAACAAGCTGAAGAATACCATCAGCAAGTTCTTTGACTCTCAAGGGCAGGTACAGTGGTGATATATTATTCACATTTCTGTCAGTTGTGTCCTTCACCCGGTGATTGAGATGGGTCCCTGTTTGTGTTCTGTGCAAACCCCCCCTGTAAGCAGTGTGATCATCACAGAACATGTTAGTGAGCATTGTGTGTGTGAGTCCAGGCTGTATTTAACATCAAATAATTGAAAACATCCTTGACTTCGTAGTGAACTCTTGGGTAGAGAATCTGTGAGAATATTTGCAGAGTCCTTGTGGCTGCAGTACTGATATATTGAATCTGGAATGTATTGGAATTCTTTTGGCTTGGTGATAACTAGAAAAGTACTTGTCCAGGAGATTTTTGAAATGCTCCAGTGTATTATCCCTCTTTTTGGTTTTGTGCAAAGAGTTAAGACCAGGAATTTTCTTCCTGTAGGTTTTGCTAACTGACACCAACACACAATTTGTAGAGCAGACCATTGCTATAATGAAGAATTTGCTCGACAATCACACAGAAGGGAGCTCAGAACATCTTGGACAAGCGAGTATTGAGACAATGATGCTAAATCTGGTTAGGTAAGGAATCCTCTTGACCTTCCTATACACAGTAATTATGTTGAAGAAGTGAGTTAGAGCCTTCTAGTTTGTATCTTTTCTTAGATCCATGGAGAAGCAGCAGCTGATTTTTCTGATCCTCCTTGTGGTTCTGACAACTTCAGTAATCATGGAGATCATTTGTGTGGCATCAAGTGCATCGGTGGAGAGTGACTTTTATTCTTTAAAGAGCTGACCATTCCATAGCTTGGCCCTATTCCTGTCAGCTTTCCTGGTTTCTTTCTTGTACGTTGATGTTAATGGTTAAAAACCAGCTGAAGGGCAGATTTGGGTTCAGTTTTATACTGACAGAAAACTCCTTTGGCCAGAAGAAATTTGCTACTGGTCTTCAGCTGATGCAGGAGCAGGGTTGAAATATGAGGTAGCATTAAGTGTTTAATTAGTATTTTTGCTTTTTTCTTCAGGTATGTGCGTGTGCTTGGAAATTTGGTGCATGCCATTCAAATAAAAACGAAGCTCTGTCAGTTGGTAGAAGTAATGATGGAAAGGAGAGATGACCTTTCATTTTGTCAAGAAATGAAATTTAGGTAAGGATGACATTATGTAACACCTGGGGTGATGAACTGTGGGCAAGTGTAATTTTGTTTGGTTATATGGTTAAAAAAGGAAACAAAAAAAACTGGTATTCCTGGTATAGGGATAGTTCTGTCATCTTTGTCTTCAGAATTATTCAGAGCCTGGTGCTGCATTAAAATTTTGGTTTGATTGTGGTGATACTAGACACTTGTAACAATTCAACTGGTCATACAGATCGGGGTATTGCTTGGTCTGACAAAATTAGTTCAGTTCATCTTCAGTGTGTGGTGCTTCAAATAGTTCTTACACTGAGTTTGTAATAATTAAGAATGATGCCAGCAGTAGTAAGTGTGTTTAAAAACAACCACCCCAAAACTAAACAAAACCACAATAAAAACCCCAATAAAGCTAAAGAAACATATTTATATGTAACAGGAACAAAATGGTGGAATATTTGACAGACTGGGTTATGGGAACATCTAATCAAGCAACAGATGAGGATGTGAAATGCTTGACAAGGTAAGAAAGAACACTCTTCACCCGTTTGGGAAGTTGCTGTCAGTATTCCAGGTGGCATTCGGTATCCATGCATGAGCTGGCTCCTTGGGCTGCCTTTAGCAGAAGTAATGTTAAGGAAAAGAAAAAATTGTAACGGAAGTTTTGGTGAGCAGAATTATATTAAATGCTTAGTCTTAACTGACATGGCTCCTTTTAATACTTTTTCTGATTTAGCATTAGGATTGACCATTTTGTTATCTAGAGCTTTATCTTTGTGGTGCATTCTGAAGAGTAAAATCATCAAATATTACAGTGCTGAATTTGTACTTGAATGGTTTTTTAGTGACAAACTGGATTGCAGTTGTTGTCCTTAGGAGATACAGTGCCTGTACCACAAAATGTAAGAGATGTTTTCACGATGGACAGAACTTTACTAAGATATTTTTTTAAATTAAAAAGTGTCTTTTTCACCTGCAGTTAGATCTATAACAAAAAAGGATTTTTCGTTTTATTTTATTAAATTTTATTTTTCAGAGATTTGGACCAGGCGAGTATGGAGGCAGTGGTTTCTCTTCTTGCTGGGCTTCCACTCCAGCCTGAGGAAGGAGATGGTGTTGAGTTGATGGAAGCAAAATCTCAATTATTTCTTAAGTAAGTAGTGATTTTTAACTACTTTTTGATACAATGATTCTAAATAGAAGCACTGTATGACTTCTGTTACAAACTGTGTTTTTCTTCAGTGGAAATAATTGTATTATTCCATCAGGAATTACCTCTTCTATGTCCCATTTCACAAATCTCTGCCTTCTGGGTTTATGGAAACATTTTCATTTAGAAAATGATTAGAAAATTTGGCTTTGTTTCTGCTTAATGCAGATGTGTGCTTCACTCGTGGCAGGGGTTAGCCTGCTTTGGTGCTGTATTTGTATCTGTGCCACCTCATCACTCTCAGGGCATCTGTTGGTAAGGGCACAGCTGTGGAATGCCCTTGTTGGAGGAGATGTGCACCCCAGTTCCGTGGTGGGGGTTGTTGCAGCACGGCTGGAGTCTGGACTGTGATGAGGTGGGGCTGGATTTCCTGGGGAGGTTCCCTGGGGGGGTGCAGCTCCTCGTGGGCGGTTGGTCTGCAGGCCGTGCTTTGCCATCCAGGGCTCTCTCCCCAGGTACTTCACGCTGTTCATGAACCTGCTGAACGACTGCAGCGAGGTGGAGGACGAGGGGGCGCAGGCGGGCGGGCGCAAGCGCGGGATGTCGCGCAGGCTGGCCTCGCTGCGGCACTGCACCGTGCTGGCCATGTCCAACCTGCTCAACGCCAACGTCGACAGCGGCCTCATGCACTCCATAGGTGAGGGAGCGGCGCTGGCCGGGCGTACCCCAGTGCCTGATTGACACATTGGTGTTTGATTTCTTTTTACATCTTCCTTAGTAGTTCTGGGTTCTTTTAATCAGGCTTGGGCTATCATAAAGACCTCCAAACAAGAGCCACGTTTATGGAAGTCCTCACCAAAATTCTGCAGCAGGGGACAGAATTTGATACGTTAGCAGAGACAGTGCTAGCGGATCGGTTTGAGAGATTGGTGGAGTTGGTTACAATGATGGGTGATCAGGGGGAGCTTCCTATTGCTATGGCTTTAGCCAATGTGGTGCCTTGTTCTCAGTGGGTAAGTTGATTCACGCATTTTATTTCCTACATTTTTTAAAATAGTAAGACTTGAAATAAAAACTAATCAAACATTAAGGGTATGACAACAGCCTACTACAGAGAATAGAGCTGCCACTGGTGATAGCTAGCCCTTCTTAGGGTGTTCATAAAAATTGCACTGAATCTAAATTCAGATCTTGGTGATAAACTGCATTTTTGTAGTAAATTTCTAGTTAAATGTCTAGGAGTTATTTTTTTATACAGTTATTATAATAAATGGTGTGTGCTGTAATGCAGACACACGATTCTATTTGCTCTTCTAGATTTTAGCAAGATTGAATTGGGCTTTGTTATACAGCAGAGTAACTGCTTATTTGTCTGGATAATATGAATTGTATGACTGGATATCATGAGGCAGATTTTTAGACAAGCAGTAGCATGGGGAACATTTACAGAAACATTGTGCATGTGTAGTTTGATATTTACCTGCCAGACCCCATAGCAAACACAAAGCATTAGTGCAAACTGCCTGGTGGTTTTTTCACAGTACTTTTTTTTTATACTTACCTTGGTTCACTGTGAGTCAAATTAACATTTCCTTCTTCTAAGGACGAGCTGGCTCGTGTCCTGGTCACACTCTTTGATTCCCGGCACTTGCTCTACCAGCTCCTCTGGAATATGTTCTCAAAGGAGGTTGAACTGGCAGATTCCATGCAGACACTCTTCCGAGGAAACAGCTTAGCCAGTAAAATAATGACTTTCTGTTTTAAGGTACATTATCTCATCTTTGTCTCCTGCAGGTCACTTTGATAACAGGAAGAGTTTAGCAATCTGAAAACACAAAGCTGCCAGGCTGTGGGGTTAAGCATGTGGGTAATGGGATCAGGTGGGAACAGTACAGAGGTCCCTTTGGGCTCCTGGGAATTTCAGCTCTCACATCTGTGAAGTTTAGGGGGTTTTCTTTTTATATTTTAACGGTTGATGTACTGAATCTTGTAGATAAGATATGCACAGGCACAACTTCAAAAGAGACATCCTCCTGGAACTGCCCCTTTTCCTTTCTGACTAGTTCAGTTATAGGAGTGATTCTGGGCCAGTACAGCTGCAAGACTGTTCCTGGTGGTTTAAAGATGGGAGACAAAGTCTGAGGTGTTGTTTGTGCTCCCCTTTCCATTTAAAAAGCTGTGTACAAATATATAAAGTGTGGAATCACTGCTCTAGGAAAGAATCCTTGCTGGGTATTGTGGTTGTTAGTGACCTGTAGTTTTCTCCACAGTGGAAATGAATTAAAATACTTGTAGATATTGATCTCAGTTGTGTTCCAAGGGTGAGACTATAATTGCAAACTCCAATTTTACAGGAATCTGACTTATGCCAAAACAAATCAAGTGTTTTCAGGCTCTTGTAACACTTGCAGAACTTTGCAGTGTTCCGGTGGATTGCTGTGTTAATCTGGCCTCCTGTTCTTGTTTTTCTTGGACACAGGTATATGGTGCTACGTACTTGCAGAAGCTTTTGGAACCTTTATTGAGGACTGTGATCACATCTCCTGAGTGGCAGCATGTTAGCTTTGAGGTGGATCCAACAAGGTTTGAGATTCAAGGGGAGGAGCAAATGTATTTATCTGTAAACATGATTCCCTGGCATTGTAAATATAACAGGGTTCCTTTTTCTTTGTTGCAAATATGTTTCTCATACTTTCATACTGTTCCACTCCTCACTTTTCCAGACACCTTACTTGTCTCTGCTGCCCTCATGCCCAGAGAGGGTTGTACAGAGGGTTTGCTGCATGTCCTCTGAGCCCTGAGAAAGCAAGGAAGAGAGAGAGCCCTTGCAGGACCTCTTCTCCTACTTGCTATTTCATGCTTTTATGTAGGCCACTAATAAGGGTGTTTCCAGCAGAACCAGAAAGCACCTATAGGTCAGTGACTGCAGAAGCAAGATAATGTGTGCATGGCATGTGTAGTTTTTGCTTTAATTTCTCTTATCACTTCAAGACCTGGATTTAGTAGCTGTTGCTCTACTGCTTTGAATTATCTCTAACTCTTACAAAGATTATAAGTATTCATCTCTTAAGTAGCTTACCCAGAGGATAGACCTTCTTATTTATAGCTTAACCCTAAAATACCTGTGTCTACCTCAGGTGTTCGTTTCAGATAAACCATCATGAAACTGATAATGCATTTATCAGTTGGAATTGTGTGTGCATGCCTTTGTATGGAATGGTCTGAGAGGATCCCACCTACAGCCTGTTCATTGCTGGGTTTTATGTGACCTTTTATTTGCATCTTATGTGGTTTAAAATAGCGATGGAAACTGTTGTGTAAAAGTTCATAAGTATTTCCATAAGAAAACTGAGGCAATGAGATTCTGCCGAGCACGTGAGTGCAGTTTGTGTCCTGTGTGCCACTGCTGGTCATACATGTGTGGGTGTGTTGCAGGCTGGAGCCCACAGAGAGCCTGGAGGAGAACCAGCGGAGCCTCTTGCAAATGACAGACAAGTTTTTTCAGGCAATCATTAATTCTTCCTCGGAGTTCCCACCCCAGCTGCGCAGTGTGTGCCATTGTTTATACCAGGTATGCCTGCAGTGGTTGCCTGCCCCTGAGCTTTGGGGTTGGTTTGTAAAGTTCCAGCACTTTGGAGCTTGGGGCAGTACACAGTGGACATCTCTTAAAGACTCTTCTCAGACACTTGATCAAAACCACAAATCTAAATGCAGGGGCTGAATGGTGTTTGAAGATTTGGGTTGGCAATGAGGAGGTGACTCGATGTTGGTTTTTTAGGTACCCCCATTCCCTGAGCTCCATCCCCAGTCCTCTGCTCTGTCCTGTGTCCCTGCAGCAGCTCAGCAGGCTGAGCCCAGGGTCCTGCTGGGTCTCTCTTGCTCTTTGTGTGGTTCTGATGGATTTAGCTGCTGCTAAAAATCCCAGTAGGGATCCCCGCAGTGCTCATCAGCAAGAGTTTCCAGTCTTGTTGGAGGACTGTGGAATGCTGTGCCTGGTGGAATATTGGAGCTGTGGTCTCAGTGAAGTGCTCTGGAAGAGCTACTTTTGGCCCTTGGGCCATAGAGTGTATCTCAGGTCTAAAGCAAAGAAAATAGATTTTATGACCTATGTGAACTAATGATGAACTAATTCTGGATTAGTCAGGGCAACTGCTGCGATTCCCAGAGCTTGGGAGAGAGGAACAGTGACTTTCTGTTGTGACTGTTGTGGTCTGGGCTGTTCTGTGAGCTCCTGCAGTGAACCAGGCCTGCAAACGCTGTGCCTTGTGTTGCTCTGACGGCTGAGTGGCTTCTAAAGCCATTGCTTTCTCCTCCTGACAGTGGCTGTGTTTGGGTTGGTGGGGGGTGGTTTTGGGGTTTTTTTGCTGTGTTTGGTTGCTGAAATCAGGAAATGGAGTGGGCAGATTGGTTTCCTTCATGGCCACAGTCTCAGATATCAGTGGGAGAATATTTGAGTGTTGCTGAAAAAGTCCCACAACAGCCTTGGTTGTTTCTCCTGTTATTGGATGTTACATTTTCCCACAACTGATCCCGGAATTAGGTTTATATGCTGTTTCCAGGAGGTATCAAGATTATTGCCATTTCAGTGGTACAATATTAGAAATTATCTCTGTGCAGACCATTTGTGATCCCTACTTGAAATGGAATTTCTAAAATGTGCTTACCAGTGGGCATTCCCAGAGATTTTTCTATGGAAGCCTTTCCAAGTCTGTTGGCTTTATTCTTGCCTTTACTGCATTTGGTAATAAGGGTAATTTGTTCCTGAAAGAGATGATTTACTGGCAAATATACAAGTGATATACAGTGATACTCAGCTTCAATGTTTACTACTTTAGCTGTTTCTGGTAACACCTATATCCTTGTACAAGTGTTTGTTCATCACAAATGGCGTAGTAATTCATTCTGTACTTAAAATTCCCAGGAGTGTTGAAGAGTCTGGCCTTTATCTGAAAGAAAATATAGTCAAGATCTGATTTGGGAGTATTAATCCATTTTTATCATAAAAACCAAATAGGTGACTTTTATAGATAACTTCACTTTTAATAAGGTGAATGTGTTCTGTGCCAATCACTAGTGTGAAAGTAAATGAGACTGAATTTTGTGGGGTGTTTTAGTTCTTAGAGTTTTAAAGTAGCTGTGTGTGCAAAGAGTACTCAGGAGGTGTGTTCTTTAAATGATTAATAACTAATTTTAATCAATGTAGCAACATCACAGAAACATATCTTTAGTTGGATGTTGGTTTCTATGCTGGCTGGTGTTTCTGTTTTGGGAACAGAGCCCAGTAAGTGTTTTCCTTTGGAAACATCAATAACTGGCTCCTGTGACAGAGTCACCTGGCTCCTTCCAGGTAATGTGTGTTCAGGAGTGGGCTGTGGTGAGGAACAAGCCTGATCAAAGTAACTCCTGCAGGGAATTTGTGCTGGCTATTTCAGAAAATCCCCACATACATGATTTTTCTCACTAAAGAGGGGTGGAAATGTCCTGTATGGCAGTGGCTGGGTGAGCAGAGTGTGTCCAACTGCTTCGGAAACCACTCCGTGGGAATTGCACAGAGAAGGTTGGCAGAGGTGCCACTGGTTAAATATTAATAGGTCCTGCACAACTTCCAGTTCAGCTTGGTGAGCACAGTAGCTTTTACTGCCTGCTTTGGTTTGGGGTTTTTGCTTTTTACTCTGTTACATTGTCAAGTTGTAGGAATTCTGTCCCAGTTCCAGTGTGACCCTTACAGAGGGTTTGAAGGTGAGTGTGTGTTTGCTCTCCAGTGCTGAGGGCTGCAGGCTGGCTGTGGATCCAGCTCCAGGGGTGGCTGTAGGGCTCCCCAGGGCTGCCCTGCCCCGTTCCAGCTGGCAGGAAGGCTGTAGGATTGAGCTGCAGGAGGTACCTCTGCCCAGGGAGCAGTGCACGAGGCCGAGGTGCTCTGGCTTTGCTCAAGTCCTGGTGGAAATAGCAGAGAATTTGATGGTTCTCAGTGGGTCCCTTTGCATCTCAATGAAATGCAGAAATAAGCACAATCAAGTCAGATCTCTTGATTTGGAAATCTCTAATATTAACACAGACCTGCTGGTTTTTTTTCTTCCTTTGTCCACAGAGTGTTTTATGGCAGTGTTAGTTCTCCCAGTGGGAATAACCCGGGTGGTTTACAGGTCTAACTAAATTGAAGGACACACAGAGAAACATTGGGAAGATTTAAAACTCTAAATTTAATGTTAAAAGTCATACGTATTTCAAAGGTATAACACTCCTATTTTTACTACTGAAATTATTTGGGGATGGTGAAATACATTTGAAAGCTGAATATACCATTTAAGGCCCAATATTGTATATGACGAGCACATTGATGTGGTTTGACTTTTAATCTAGCCAGAAATAGTAGAAATGATTGAAATTCAACATTTGCTTGTTTTGTATTTAGTGCTTTGTAAATAAGATGTAATAAAACTGTGAAATAAAAACTCCATCATCAGTCTTTAGTTTATATATTTCATTTTCTGTTGGTTATGTTTGTTACATTTTACTGTGTAATTTGTGTACAAGTCAACATTGGTTTTTTTGTTGCTGTATGTAGTTGGTGCTGTGACTTGTTTGTGCTCATCTCTGTTCTGTAGGCAACTTGCCACTCTCTACTGAATAAAGCTACCGTAAAAGAAAAAAAGGAAAACAAAAAATCAGTAAGTTTGGAGACCTTTTTATTAGCCATTTCTTTCAAAGCACAACAGAAATCTTTTGCTGTTTGTTCAAAATATCTTCACTTCAGTCTATTTGACCTCACTGTAAAATCATTCTACTAATTCTGGCACAAAATAGCTTTCATTTCAATTAACACTGGAATTAAGTTATATTTAAAATATTCTCTGTGTGCCTATTTGAGTAAACAAAAGACATTTTTAACCTTACTGCTTAGTGTTTAATACTCTGACTCTTCTAGCCTTGCCACCATCTTCAAATTAAAAAAAAATGCGGAAGGAAAATGTTTTCTTTGGTTTTGAGAAAAATCTGAGTCTGTTGAGCTGCTTTAACACTCTGGCAGATAACCTGAGCTTGCATCATGGGCAAAGAACAATTAATAGTTGTGGGGCACTGAAAAAAGCATCATGGGACATACTTCTGATACATTTTCTTTTGTTTGCTTTGTGACTAAGCAAAAAAAATGAACTTAGCACTAGTATTTATTTTCTGAGAAAAGGAGATTTCCCATTTTAAGTAACTTGCTGTGTTAGAATTTAGATCTGTGGGTTGCTTTAGATTGGTGTCATTAAAAGTTCAGATTTATCCTTTTCATTGGCAGTAACCTAAAAATATAAAGTATGAATAAACCAGGCAGAATGGAAATTTAGACTTTCAATAAATACTCTCTTATTTTTGCTGTAACTGAGCAGAATAGTAATTGTGTTTAAAATGCAAAATCTGTGGGCAAACCAGTATTTTAGAAGAAAATATCAGTAATTGCATTCCAAGGTAACAGACTGGAGTTGCTATTGAACCAAAGTGATTCTTGGTGTATTTTGTACTAATGGCTTTGTCTGGTTTAAGCAGCATGATTTGAGATTGCACTAGTTATGTTTTGAAGCATTTTACTAAAATTGGATTTGTTTGGTTTTTCTTTATTTCTTTCAAGCTGTACCTTATAATACCAAGCTTGCTAATTTTATTCTGTGAAAAGGTAGAATCTGACTCGTTTTGATTAACCATTGTTACTCATTAAAACACACACAGATATTGATACTTTATAGGACCACATGTTGCATATCTGAGAACTTTATTTTTGTCAGGAAGCTTTGTCTTTAACTGTTCAAAGTCAAGTGAAAGATACCTAGACAGTAACTCTCCTCTTAGTAATGCGTAGCTGATTTCCTAAAAGCAAAGCAATTTCTTTTTTCTTACCACAAATTCAGAATTATTGTTTTCCCTTGATAGAAAAGAATCATATTTTAAATATGTAGTTCTAGCAAATTCCTGCTCAGTGGTTTTGGACAGTGTGTGGGTAGGCAGAGAAGTGCACTGGCTACTCAGCTGTGGCTCATTGTCTTTCTGCGATAGTTCTGAAGAGTTTTTCTGCAAATATCTCCTCCTCACAAATTTAAAATTACTACTGAAACTTCACAGCACAAGCGGAGACAGCACATAGCTGGAGAGGCTCTTGTGCTCTATTGTGCCATTATAAGTACACAGATAAAAGACCCACTAATCCCAAGAGCGTTGTGTGTGTTTGGTGGAAGGCTGTGCACACCTGAGGGTGAACATACAGCCCTTGGCAGGGCCCGGGATGGAGCAGCTCCCAGAGTCTGGCAGGGCATGGGATGGAGGGGCAGCAGCTCCCAGAGTCTGGCAGGGCATGGGATGGAGGGGCAGCAGCTCCCAGAGTCTGGCAGGGCATGGGATGGAGGGGCAGCAGCTCCCAGAGTCTGGCAGAGCATGGGATGGAGGGGCAGCAGCTCCCAGAGTCTGTCAAGGCCTGGGATAGCAGCTCTCAGACACTGTGCAGGGGCTGTCGTAGCCATTTCCCCTGTCAGGGAAGGCTGTGCAGCAGCTGAGGTGAAGGCAGCTGGTGTGAGACCCCCCTGCCCCTCAGTCCTTCCCCTCTGTTCTGATCCTCTGCGGTGCAGCAGAGCCCACTCGAATGTTCTGAGCATGGCTGGTGTGGAAGGAATGCTTAGGCTTGGCTTACCGTGCAGGCTTTGCCAGCAGCCCTCCCTGCCCTCACGGCAGCGTGTTCTCTGTGCCTCACGCGCAGGTGGTGAGCCAGCGCTTCCCTCAGAACAGCATCAGCGCCGTGGGCAGCGCCATGTTCCTGCGCTTCATCAACCCCACCATCGTGTCCCCGTACGAGGCCGGCATCCTGGACAAGAAGCCCCCGCCCAGGATCGAGAGGGGCCTGAAGCTCATGTCAAAGGTGAGCCGGGGTGTGTTTTTACGTGCCCGTGTTTTATTTTCTGTCTGCTTCAGTTCTGTTCTCTGATGGGTATGTGAAAACGTAGGAAAACTTGTAGTTTTTTGTAGCGACCATCATGTTTATTGAAGGTGCATTTAAACACCGTGGCATTGATGTTAGAGCTCCCAGCAGGGTAAGCAGGTTCAGCAGCAGGCTATGTGGGGAAAAACACCTGTGAGGGGAAAAACACCTCGCCAAAATGGTGGAGAAGAGAGCAGGATTCCAGCCCTCCACTTGAACTTCTCATTTAAAAACAAACAAGTAACTGGTGTTGCTGTGAGCACAGTGAGGGGAACAGCCGGCACTGACTGAGTTCATACCACTGCTAAAGAAAGGATTTTTCCTATCTTTAATCTCATTTGGTCATATTTCTTGTAAAAATGAAAAAAAGGTTTAGTGATGGCACACAAATTCTTTGCCCTGTGCATATTATCCATTTTAAATGTCGAGGAGTTACATTTTTCTTAAAATAGGTATGTGCTATTGATTTGACTTGCCTGTCTAACTTCTAGGAAAAATAGTTAACATTTAATAAATGGTGGTTTGAAAGATGATTTATTTTCCCGATTTAACTTGAGTAAAATTCATAAATAAGTGAAGTGGTTTTCTAGTATTTAAAAGTAGGAGAAAGAAAAGACTTTGAAAGTGAATGTGTTTTAAATTAATTGGCTTATTGGCCTTTTTGTTGTCTGGCAGAAACAGTTTAACTGTTAATTACCGTAACAGTTACTACATTAAACCTTTGTGTCTTTGCTGTCTTTTTATTCTTTAGATACTTCAGAGTATTGCCAACCACGTCCTGTTTACAAAAGAAGAGCATATGCGGCCTTTTAATGATTTTGTGAAAAGCAACTTTGATGCAGCACGAAGGTGAGGCCTGGGGACACTCCCAGAGTGTGCAGAGGGAGCTGAGAGTGCCCTCACAGCCCTTTCATTTACCTGGAGTCTCCTTGGGAGGCTTCTCTCACACACTGATGGCTGTTCCTCGGTGTGAATTCCAGGTTTTTCCTTGACATTGCGTCCGACTGCCCAGCGAGTGACACCGTCAACCACAGCCTGTCCTTCATCAGCGACGGCAACGTCCTGGCCCTGCACCGCCTGCTGTGGAACAACCAGGAGAAGATCGGCCAGTACCTCTCCAGCAACAGGTGAGGCTTCAGAGGGGGAAGGAGGGGAGTTGCTGATGGGAAATGTATCATAGAATCATGGACTGGTTTGGGTTGGAAAAGACCTTAGAACTCATCTCTCTCCACCCCCTGCCATGGGCAGGGACACCTTCCACCAGCCCAGGTTGCTCCAAGCCCCGTCCAGCCTGGCCTTGGGCACTTCCAGGGATGGGGCAGCCACAGCTTCTCTGGGCAACCTGTACCTGTATCCCACCACCCTCACAGGGAAGAAGTTATTCCTAATATCCAGTCTAAATTTAGCCTCCTCAGCTTAAACCTGTTAATATTTGGAAATACTCTCCTATGCTTCTGTTATTATTACTGAGAAGGATATCAGTCTTCAATGAATACTCTTTGTATTTTTTTTTGAGAAAAGAAAATCCAGCCAGCTCCAGCCTGTTGGTGGGCAAAAAAAGTAGGAATTGCTGAGTAAAGCACTTTTCTTACAAGGAATCTGCTGTTTGCAGGGACCACAAGGCTGTTGGACGACGACCTTTTGACAAGATGGCCACTCTTCTTGCCTACCTGGGGCCTCCTGAGCACAAACCTGTGGCAGATACACATTGGTCCAGTTTAAATCTCACCAGTTCCAAATTTGAAGAGTTTATGACGAGGTAATGGGAGTGTTGTGGTGGGGACATGCAGTGGGGGCTTCTAGACTTTACCACGTGTGGGGCTGTGAGCAGTTATTGCAGTTGTTTTGAAGGGGAGTTTAAAAAGCCGAGTCTGTGTAAAGCTTTTAGATTTCTGAGTAGATTTTAATTAAAAAAACTAAACTGGGCACTGGAGATGGTATTAACATTTGTGATTTAATGAAGGCTTAAGATTATGTGAACTTAATATTTTTGTTTAAAGGTGCAAGTAAAGAGGATTTGGTTGGTTTTTATTTTTTATTATTTTACTTTTTTGAAAGGTAGTTGTGAAAGTTGATGTCCCTATATTGCTTTTTAGGCATCAGGTACATGAAAAGGAGGAGTTCAAAGCACTGAAAACGTTAAATATTTTCTACCAAGCTGGGACATCCAAAGTTGGCAATCCTGTTTTCTACTACATCGCTCGGCGGTAAGAAACCTTTCACCTTCCCAGTCTGAAATAACTGTAAATCAAAAGTACCAAGTGTGTATCAGACAAGAATCTGAAAATAGCTTAGTTGTTAAAATTTGCTGACAATATTTTTGAGTTGTTTCCTAAATCAAAACTGTCATAGTTTTTCAGCCCAGGAGTATGTGAATACCTGTGGAAAAACACCTAATATTTTAAATGCACTTTATTAATTTTCACTGTCTCAAGTAAACTACATCTACACCACATTGCTGTTAACCCTTTATTGGTGATTTTATCATTTTCATTTTCTGAAGTATTAAATGAGTAACAAGCTAAAACATGGGATAAAATTTCTCAAAGTGGTCCCTCAAAGTGGTATCTCATTTTAAGGAGTAATACAAGTACTTAGAAGTTTCACACACAAGCATGGCTGTGATGTTGCTTCAGTTTGACCATCATGGTCTAAGTTTTTTGAAATGGTTGGGATCTGTGGAAACAGCACAAAAGTAATGAGAGAAGCAGATGCTGATGTGTGAACTCTTCCTGGTGCTCCCGTTGCTGGTGTGTGGTGCTGGCGGGTGCTGGCTGCGGTGCCTCGCTGCTGCTGTGCTGAGCTGTGTCATGACAGGAGTGGCTGTGCTCCCTGGGACTCCTGTCTGAGCTGCCTGTCGGGGTGAGGTGGGAAGAGCTTTGGATGGTGGTGCCAGTGTTGATCCCTAGGGTGCTCCGTGCTGGCTGTGGCACTGCTGCTCGTGGTGTGCCGGTGGTGACAGTGGCACTGCTGGTGCCAGTTCTGGTATTGTCATAAGAGGGGATGTCATCAGTGGTGAACCTTCTGCAGAGCCTTGGGAGTTCCTGTGAAAACATGGAAAGAAGCAGAGGAAACCACTTTCTTAGCAGCATCTTCTGTTTGTATCCAGCAGTTTAAATAAATAATCAACACATGCTTGCAAGCAAGTAATTCTTCAAATTGCATGTTTCTAATGAAAGTAATGCTCAACAGGCATGTAGGATCTTTTCAATTAATGAAAATTGTAGATCCTTAATTTTATTAAATTTTTCATTGTTTTCAGTAGTGCTTTTTACTCTGTAGGTTGTTACAAACCCCCTTTGACTGGGGAAATTGCCTTCCTTTAACTTTTCTGCATTTTCAATGCCCTTGACTCATTGGATAGAGTGGAAGAACACAAGACGAGTAGCATCACTTATCTTCTGTCCTGATTTTCTGTCTTCAAAAGCCACACAACAGTCCATGAACCTGCTTGTGTGCTGACAGAAGGGATTGTCCCCAAAAGAAGTTTGGATGCCTTTTTCTTCCCCTTTAATTTTTTTTTTTAGCAAGATCCCTAATGTTTAAGTGCCTTCCACACACAGAGTTAGAAGTGAAGGCAGTCTTTGGAATTCTCTTAAAAAAATTCTCTGCTTGCCATGTTTTTATTCCCTATTTTGTTCCATTTCCCTGGAGCAGCTGCACGTGCAGTTCTCCTGGCAAGGCCTCTTGTCAAACCCAGCAGGACAGGCTTTGCTCTGGGATGATGCCCTGGCATCTTCTCTTGTCATGGGGATGTGGCTAAGTGGGGCTTATTTGGGGTGTTTGTTGTCTGGTTCTGAGCCAGATGTTGTGTTTTTAAGGTGTGAAATGTGGAAAAACTGTTTAGATTTTAGATTAGGGCTGCCAGTATGTTTGAGGGCTTGCAGCAGGCTGGGGGTTTTTTGGGGTTGTTTTTTCCTTTTTTTTTTTTTTTGGTAGTTTGTGATCTTGTTGCTAGGGCATTGTTGAGTCATTTTACTGATATATCTGGATCAGTTTATGTCGTTCTTGTGCTGTGAAATTTAATTCCTTCTGTCATCTATCTTCACATTTTGTTTCCTGGGCAACAGCCCGGCTCCTGGAGCCAGTGCTCTTCTGTTTTTAAGCCCTATCCTTTTACTAAAATGATCCATAAATCAATAAATATTGATCCTGAACTACTGCCATTAGGTTTTAAAGCTGCTCCCAAACTAATTAATAGGAATACAAACCTCTGAGTTATTGCTGCAGAGCACATCAGTCCCACAGCAATTTTACCCTTTGAGAGCGAGCACAGAGCTATTAAAGGTGTGCCAGAGCATTTTTGGGTATTTTGAGTATTGCCCTGAAATGCTACCTGGTTGTTTTGGAAGATAATTTCACTGAGAACAGGTTATTTGATATTTCTGGTGCTCTGAGCGAGCAGCATGTTTACAAACCAGGCCCTGGGTTTAGCTCAGTGTGACTGCACAGTTGCCCAGCAACAAGTGCTCGGCTGCCTCCTCCAGCTCCCTTATCGGCTCATTCGTATTCCAGAAAAATACAGGCAAGCCTAAATTCCAGTCTGCTTTATTGAAAGCAGGCTGAGTGAGGAGCCCTGGTGCTTGCCCCTGGCAGGGTTTGGGCAGGAGCACAGCCCTGGCACGTGGCAGGGCCGGCTCACTCCATCCCCAGCTGCAGGTTTGTGTCCCAGCTTCCCAATCCTGCACATGGATATGGAAAAGCCCCCAATCCTGCTCCCACTTCCAGGCTTTTATTAGCATGCTGAAGACTCTGAAGTCTGGGTAGCAAGTCCTTCAGGGTGGGGGCTTGCAATTTGCCCCAAATAACTTCTGGAAAACAATGTTTTCCTGTTGCTCTTCACTGAATGGTCTCGTTGTGGGTGAAGCATTCTGAGTGTTTAAAGTCTGTTCCGTGGAGGTTTTTTTAATGCAATGGAATTTGGCATCCTGTATTGATTCTGCAGCAAAGACACGTGGAGTATTTCATGTCATTTCCTCAAATCAGGCAGTTTAGTCACAGCCCTTGTTCTGGGATCTGTCCTGCCTGCGAGCCAAGCTGCTCCCACTGTGTGGGATGAAGCCATATGAATGGGAGAGCTCTGGGAATACTGAGTTCTGAGCACCATAAGTAGGTTGGGGCTGTGTTACAGTCAGTCAGCACTTAGTAAACACATGGACTGCCCAGAGAGAGAGGCAGGCAGGGACATTCTAGGGATTTGCAAGTTCTAAAGGGTAGGACAGGGAAGGATAGTCCCAATATTATGATCATATCATCAGCTTATTACTGTACAACATTAGGGATACATCAGTATCAAAATAATATAATTTAACTATAATTTTCCCCCATGTGACTTGAAGAGGGAGCCAAATGTCTGCTTGAAACAGGTTTGTATAATAAAATATTAACTATCCATTGGTATTACTCTGCTTATTTAAAAAGAAGCACTGACACTAATGTAGTTCAATACAAACATAACTTTATTTTTACTTAAATGCCAATGAAATAACTGTACAAATCCATTGTGTAACATTTACTGTTAGAAATTAAAACACATTTCCGGTTATAGAAACACATTTCACAGTTGGAAAGTTGTGATTTCTCTGATACCAGTAGTTGTAAATGGTTTACAACCCCCACTGACACCTTAGGAGAAACAGGTAGAGGACTCCAGTCTCAGTTGTGAGGTTTTCTGGGTTTTGTAGCACCTTCATGCTACAATAACTGGAAATTAAATGGCCTGGAATGAATGGAAAACATTGTATAAGATCTGTAATATTAAGTGAGTAATACTTTTTCAATTAACTTGTTCTTCGGTTTTCATTTCATGCTGTTTGCAAAACTTCATCTGTAGTATATCAGGTACCTTTGCCATAATTTAACTAGTTTTCCTAGAGTGGGCAGAACCATGCGTGCAACTATTTCTACTGGCTGAGGTGCAGATGGCAGGGAGAAGAGCACCCATGCTCGCCCTTGGAAAGCAGGGGTTGGGCAGTTCAGTGCCAGGGACTGAAGTAATTCTCTGTGAAGCCACAAGAGTCAGGATTGTTTCAATGACAGCTCGCCAACTAATTGCTTAATTGATTTGTTACATGACTTGTGTTAGAAGTTGGCTGATATTTCATTTTACTGGTTGTAGTTTGCTACATTCTGGCTGATTTGAGATACTCTTTTAAGCAGAATGTATTAACACTTCAGGATGTCACTTGACGTAAAGTTAAGGAGTTCCATGTCGTTAATTTGGGTAGATAACTCCCTGGTGTTGGAGCGTGTCATGGCACTGAACATCTGGCATTTTCCTCTAGTCATCTTTTTTTTTTTTTTTTTTTTCTTTTTTTTTTTTCAAGGGGCAGCTGAGTCAGCT